TTCAAAAAGAACGATAATAACAAGGGTAAATAGCACTTTACCCCCTTGTGGTTTCAACTTGTTGCACTTTACCCCCCTGTCATATCAATATAGGCCTTTTACCTCCCTGTGGTTTGCACAATGTAGCGCCCGTCAATATATCCGTTAAATGTTAACGGAGGATGATTAATGTCTAAAATACCCTTCTAATTTCTTACAATTTACACGCCCTAACCACGACCCTCATACAGGTGGTAAATTGTTTCCCCCAAATTCACACAATTCACCCTAAATTCCCAAATTAACTCTTCTGGATTTCACAAGCTTCAATCGTATTCAACCAGTTCTTCGCAAGATTAGGGAGTTAGTGCTCAAAGAATGTGATTACGACAATAAGAAGGTGCAAAGAAGGTGAAAGAAGGTGCTTGCACAATACATCGAATTGCGAAGGAGTCATGGAAGTTCCCAAGTAAGTTATTCATTTTAATTTCTTCTTCGTCAATATTTATGCAATATTTATGCTGATTTTTGTTTTTATTTCGTTAAATAGAGATACCCAGGTTTTTCGTCCACAATTTTTTTTATGATATGGCTCGAATCCCTAATTTATCTGAGCGAAATACTGAAATTTTTTATTGGTCTCAGATTTTGCCCTTATTATATTGTTCGAATTGTCTCTTTTATGTCACTTTGTCTGTTTTCTATGTGTATTGTGGTCCCTGTTCGATTTTTTTATTCTTTGGAAGAATGGTCCCAATTTTGGACCAATTTTTATCCACTTGCAGTACATAATTAGCTATTATCTGGAACTTTTTTTATATTCTTTCAGCTCTAATTATGTACTGAATATTATGCATTATGTAATTTCCCAATTTTGGACCAACCACCTTTATCACAGTCCACTTTTGAGGTTAGTTTGCATTTCACATTTATTTCATTTTTCAGACCTGATTTGCAAATATTTAACCACCTTTTATGTTTTTTGGTTTAGAATTTATTTTCCCAAACTACCTCTTCTCAACCAACATTACTGCATGGGCCTAATGGAGCATTGTTCCAGAGATCAAAAACAGCTCCAGTTGGTAGTAAAAAGCAGGGAAAAAGGCAAGTGAAAGGTAAGAAAAAACCAGTTTGGATGCCTTGATTCCAAACTGAGTTGAAGTAATTTTATGATTTTTACTTTTTCCATTGAGAGCCATGTTTTTGTTAGTTAATCTAAACTGATCATTTTTTTGTTAGTTGGCTCAGTGGATCTTTTGTTGTCTGTTGAACAATGAACAAGTTATTTGTTTGGTTATTTATTTTGGCCACTTATGCAAAACAATGTGTTTGTTTGTTGAAACAGTTGGAAAATATTTTTTTGTTGGTGAATGTTAATTTTGCAGATTATATTTTGTTAATTTTGCAAATTATTTGGCAATTGATATATGCAGTTTATGGAAACAGAGACATTAGTAGTCATTAGTAATAGCTTTTGATTTCAAAACTTACAAACAAGAATTGCAACTGAAATTAAATACAGAAAAAGACATCCAACCACCATTTGCTTCACCATTTCTTGTTTAGCTTCAAGTACTTGAACCCTAGTCTTTATGCCTACAACCATTTGCTCAATTCCCTCTCCAGCTCTAGCTGATGTTGTTCCAGTTGATATGCCATTGATTGAGTAGGGAGTGCACCATCCTTGAAAGCCACAATTTGAATCGGAGCACCCAAAATATAATCGACCCTTTGATGGCTTCTCAGTTTCAACAATTTTTATGACAGCTTTTCTTCCACAAGAACATATCTTCCCGTGGTATCGTAGATCGACAGTTTCATAGTTGTTTGAAGAAGAAGACATCACAAAAAAAAAGGGGGGGTGGGGGGGGTGTTGTTCAGCAGCAAAAAAAAATGAGAATTAGGGTTTAATTTGGAAAAGATGGTGGGGGTATTTATTGAAGAAGAAATGGTAAATATTGAATGGAAAGTGGTTGAAAGTGGTTGAAATGTGTAAAAATATTAATTTATGGTAAAAAAAACTCAACCAAGTCATTTTCGAGCGAGTGAGATGCACTCTCCGTTAACATTTAACGGATATATTGACGGGCGCTACATTGTGCAAACCACAGGGAGGTAAAAGGCCTATATTGATATGACAGGGGGGTAAAGTGCAACAAGTTGAAACCACAAGGGGGTAAAGTGCTATTTACCCTAATAACAACACTTGTGTACAATATTGTCCACATCAGCATAAATATCTTCATGCTTTATTTTGTCTTTTTCTTACAACTGTGCTGCCATCATGGTTCCGTGTAATTTTGGCTATTCTAGTTTCTTGGTCTTACACGTGTTTCATTTGCATATAATCATCATATCTTTGTTTCTTACCAAAATATTTTGGGTAAAGCATATTTAACTTCCCATATTATTTTTCTATTTGAGTGTCCCGTTCATCTAGGAATTTTCAAATATTTATTCTAATTTTGATTTTCTATACTTCACACTTCTCTATCTCTTCAGAAAATTAGAAATAACCTCTTACTTTAGTTTAACATAATGCGCTTTATTTTTTTCAAATACACACGTGCGCAGCGATAATACTCGTTAGGGGATGTTAGTATTTTTTAACGTTGTTCGTAGTATTTGTATTATTATGTTTTAGCACTTTTATTGATATTCATTGACACTAAAATATGAGACTAATTTTTGTATTTTATAATGTTACGTACTGTATGTCAAATATATTTTTTTTCATACTTTTATTTATCGTGATTAAATAGTATTGAACACGTTCGGCAATATATTTATTCTCGCTAGTAGTCTAATTGATCATTGATGTACCACAAGTGAGTTTGTAGTAATAGACTAGTAGCATTTTAATTTTCTTCCTACTCTTCCCCATTTCCCCAAAATAAATGTACCTATTTTAAACGTTTTCCATATTTCTCCCAAAAATAAATCAAAAAAACTTCTTGTCCATCAAACGTGATTTGAATGCTACGATAAAAAAATATATTCACTAAAAAACTAACGAACATTATTTTATTTTTTAAAATTCTATCCGAAAACACTTTTTTCCAACACTTTAAACATGGTTTGAAAAAATATTTTGCATCTCTTCTTATAATACAAGTATTAATTTCATTATTAAATTCTTGTCACATAACAAAATTCCCGGATTAAAATGGAAATGAGCCCCTAAATACTTTCCGCATTGCTTACATTTTCTGCTTTTTAATATTTCTCTTAGCTCCATATTTCCGGAATACTCATCACTTAAGAGTTCAAAATCATGAATTGAGGTATGTTAAACTAAAGTAGAGAGTAAACTGCAAAAACTACCCCTGTGTAATCCCAAAATAGCAAAAACCCCCCTGTGATAAATAAACTAGCAAAAACCCCCCTGTGAAATTATTTAAATAGCAAAAACCCCCCTATGGAACTATTTGAGGGTTGACTTGATATAAAAAGACACAAATACCCCTGGAGTCTTGCAATTAATAAATTCTTATATTTTATAAATATTTTAATTATTTTATTTAAAAAATAATCAATTTAGTTGTTTACTATTTTTTTTAATTTCTAAACAAATAAATTAAAAAGAATAAATATACATATAATATGTATATATATAAATACATTTTGAGGGTCAATTTTGTCATTTCAAGTCTAAAAAATCAGCTAGGGGGGATTCTGCCTTTGACTAAATTTCACAGGGGGGTTTTTGCTAGTTTATTTATCACAGGGGGGTTTTTGCTATTTCGAGATAACACAGGGGTAGTTTTTGCAGTTTACTCCTAAAGTAGAGGCATTATTCGTTAAGTGAATTGACTCCTACCATAAAAAAATGATTTGAATAAATTATTCATCTCTTGAATTCAAAATTTCTCCGCTCACTCAACCATGATTTTACTGCTGAGGCGCTCAATAAAAAGTTGTATTAGCAATACCCCAATTGTGAAAATGAAAATGTTGTCACTAATAGCTCTTTTTGTTGTCACTTAATCATTATTTATCGTCACTATAGAGCATTATCGACACCCCATTAGTGACAAGTATAGTGACAACACTTTTACTTAACTATGTGAAAAATAGGTGTTGCCACTCAAAAGAATTTTTTTTATAGTGAGACTACTGTATTAACTAAAAAATAAACGGAACATCATTATATTTTTCAAAATTTTATTCTGAAACACTTCTTTTGTAACGTCACTTTCTGTGTCTTCTCAAAATATGAAAAGTATTAATTTCCTTGTCAAATTATTTTCGCAGAATAATTTTGAAGTAGATGAAAAAAATATGTGGTATATTATTCCTAAATTTATTGCTACATGGACAAAAAACTAAATAAATATATAAATTAGAGAGTCATATAATATCTTCCCCATTTTCGGTTAGATATTAGGTACGTACCGAATTTTCGATTCGGTACAGTTCGGTCGATTTACCGATCTAGTGAATATTCTTAAATATACATGCTCTTTTTTGTAATGTTAATTAAATATTTTTTCAGCTCATTTTGCAGCCTAGGGGCTTGATTCATATTTCTCAAGAATGTTTAAAATTTAATTCGTTACAGGCTTGATCAATTGACAAATTTATGTTACTTGGACATTACCAATTTCAACACCTGATTGTAATTTATAGTTAATTAGGCATTAACGGAATCTTGCACTAGACATACAAGTTAGGTAAGAACATGTGCCCCATCTTTTTTTGGAAATTTAGGTCAAAAAATAATAATAAGAGAATTTTCTTATTAAAATTTATAATAATTATTTTTAACTCTTAATTTTAAGTAAATAAAAATAAATATATGTAAAATTATTATGTGTATGAAATAAAAAATATACGTAAAATAAAAGGAAACCAATTTTAGAAAATGCCAATCTAAGGCCTGGAAATTCTATGCTACATAAGATTATTTACACCCGCTGATTATTAGCCGGAACTCTATGATACACCGAGTTATTTATATGGGGTAATTGTTAGTTGTAGATCTGCACATAATTGCACACGCACTCATGTGAGTTTTGCAAGTACTGAAAAGTGTAGAAATCAAATAAGTCACGCCTAGTGTGCATGTCTATCTATCCACCAATTTGCAGCCTACAACTCTTCTTAAATTGGCATGTATTTCCAAAACACTAAAACGGGAACAAGTGTATAAACTCAAATTTTCTTTCAAGCACTTCAAAAAGAAGAAGAAAGAAGAATGATTCGAAGGAGAGTGAGCACCCGTTTAATCCCACTTCCTTATATATCAAAGGTTAGTCGGCCCATTTCCCTTTTTCTATTCATTTCTCTACTGTGTTTCCTCACTTCAATTTTTTTTTTTTTGAGTTTTAATGTATTTTATTAGTGTTCTAAACAGAGGAAGAAAACAGGGGCAGTCATCATTATTAATTAATTGTAGAATATATTTGGTCACGAGTAATGAAAAAAACTGTCATGTTTATTTTATATTTTCATGTAATATATATTAGATTGGAGCTTCCACTTTTGCAACTCAAGCGGCGTCGTTTCTGCAAGATGCGTGTGAATCATCGATCGACTGGAACAATCTAGGGTTCGGTTTGATGGAAACGGATTATATGTATACCATCAAGTGTGGCGGCAAAGATGACGATTTTAAGGCAGGCAAACTTATCCGTTACGGGAACATAGAGTTGAGCCCTTGTGCAGGTGTCTTGAACTATGGCCAGGTTGGTTAGTAGTTAGTATTATACATATTGATATTCTTTTCTGCTGTTTTCAACTAAAACCAAGAAAAAATAGTAATAATTAAAGCTGCCCCTGTTTTCTTCCTCCAGGGACTATTTGAAGGCATAAAGGCATATAGAAGAGAAGGTGGAGGTGTGTTTTTATTTCGTCCACAAGAAAACGCGATTCGGATGCAAAAGGGCGCACAGAGAATGTGCATGCCTTCTCCTTCTACTGCCCAGTTTGTCGATGCGGTTAAACAGACTGCTCTTGCCAACAAACGCTGGGTAATTAATTGTTGGGCAAATTTCACTTTCCTCCCTTGTACTTTTGGCTCGGTATCACTTTATCCCCTTTTACTCTTTGATTACATCGATTTGATTTGTACCCATGCACTTGAAAATTTGACTCAATGTGGCACTGGATGTAGTTGTCAGACATTTGACCTTAACACCGTTTTGTCTGAGCTCTGAAATTACAAAAAACGCCACCCATCTCCGATTAAATAATTATTTATAAAAGTGAAAAAAAACTAACGGCGAGGACCATATTGAGACAATTTTTCAAGTGCAGGAGTAAGTCAATGCAATCGAGAGTAGAATATGGTAAAGTGATATCGAGTCAAAATACATGGGAAAGTGTAATTTACCCTTAATTGTATTCATTCCTCTCTTTCTCTCACTACTCTCTCTACTTTGCTATCTTTTAATTTGGTGTGTTTATTTTTGTTCATATTTTGAGTTAAAGCAGATTCCTCCTCCGGGAAAAGGTTCCTTGTACATCAGGCCTCTGCTATTTGGAAGTGGGCCTGTTTTGGGTTTGGCGCCAGCTTCTGAATACACATTTTTAGTCTATGCTTCCCCTGTTGGAAACTATTTTAAGGTTTGCTTCCCTTTTTTTTTTTTTTTTTTTTTCTTTTTTATTTGTTAATGGGAACATAAAATAAACATGTAGATATTTCCGTTTTATTAATTGTTATTGTTGCAGGAAGGTACGGCTCCACTTAATTTGTATGTTGAAGATGAATTTCATCGTGCCACTCGTGGCGGTGCTGGAGGTGTCAAGAGCATAACAAACTACGCACCGGTAGGTATCTCGCCCGCCATGTGCTTGATGAAAGTTCTAGATGAACATAAACAACAACATTACTAAAAACACCAGTCGAAAAGTGCCTTATAGAAAAAGTAGCATTTTAATTCAGGCTTATAACGTCGTACTCTGTCTGTTCAACTTCAGCTGTTTCTCTAAAATGTCGATTTTGTTGCTCGTATTTGACGAACTACATAATTATGCACAAGTAGTGAATGGAATTAAAGAAGCAAATGATTTACTGCGCATACACTGGTTTCGGTATGCGTTCGATAAATGTTATCGTCTTGTTATGTAGGTTTTGAAAGCCATAAGTAGAGCAAGGGACAGAGGGTTCTCCGATGTTTTGTACCTAGATTCAGTCAATAAAAGAAACATCGAAGAGGTTTCGTCTTGTAATATCTTCATGCTCAAGGTACTAATTCCACTTTACTTTCTTTTACTCAATGTGTTAAATTATACGATTTACGCTAATGACAGCTGGTGAATGATTTTCATTATGTTCAGGGCAATGTTCTTTCCACTCCAGAAATTAATGGTTCTATTCTCGAAGGAATCACACGTAAAAGCATCATGGATATTGCAACCAATCTCGTTTACCGGGTAATCGGTTGGCTTTCACGATATTTCGTTATTTTTCTTTTGCTCTATATAAATCTTAATTTTGAATTTAAAAAATTCAAGGTTTTAGGAATTTTCAGGTTGAGGAGCGTTCGATTACAATCGAAGACGTGATGGATGCCGATGAAGTATTCTGTACTGGAACTGCAGTTGGTGTTGCACCTGTCGGAAGTATTACTTACAAGGGTAACAGGTAATTAAGGAAGCCTCTGTTTTCTTGTCGGATATCTTTCTTGATTAGTGGTAACCGGTAACCAATCCGGACGTAATGAAACTACGCAATTTATTCCTACAGGGTTGCATATAAGACGAGCACTCCACTTGTGTCGAAGAAACTTTATTCCAGACTTGTTGATATCCAAACGGGCGTTGTTGAGGATGATAAAGGATGGGTTGTCGAAATTAACTGACCCTACAATTTATCATCCTCGATTCATAATTATTGTATGTACATAATTATTTTATATTGATGGAAACTTGTATAGCTATTATATACGAATCTCCCGCTTCGTGAAATGATTCGTCAGGTTATTCTCCGATTGCAATCTTTCTGACCACCAAATCACATGGAGTAACGATCTCTCGAATAGGATGATATTTGCGCTCGGTGTATTTGTCCTTCTTATGAGTTATGGGTTCCTTTGAATTCGCCACCACTCCATAAGTGTAAAAAGAAAATGTTATAGTCGGTCGAATGGTTGGAACAAACTCCCGAATTGAGTAAGAAATTCTTAAGCCATACAACCTACTTATCAGCTTCACATGCAACTATATATGCAAATTCCATAAGATTGTTTAATAATTATCAAACCAATGGCCACACCCACTGGCGGTACTAAGAAGGGGCTGGGGTGATATGATCCTGACAAATTCCAACATGAAAAATTGGAAGAAGAGAAAGCGTGCGAGTTTATTGGAGTTGTTCGTATTTCAAATGATTAGAATAAGCACAAGGGAGTTGATTGAAGAGCCCATGGTTTGGAATTGGAAGAATAGTAAGAGAGAATTCGTTGAACAAGTCGATTTCATGCATCTCGAAAGTCTCATGTGATTCTGTCATATTTTACCATTCGGAATATAACTCTTTCATCTGACGTCCAATGAAGGTGATTCAAACTCCATAGCAAAGCCAACTGAAAGATCTACTACAACTTTCATGTTTTGGGTGGAAAGAGATTCCGAGTGGAACAATGTCTGAATCAAGCTTCAAGTTGATGCACGTGCACATCCAAATGTCTACGCGAGTTTAGAAGGTTGATCGGGAAGTCGACTTGAAAATTTAAGTTATTTAATTTAGTTATGCACGTTTTTATTTTAGGATATACTATATTTTATTATTTTAGAGTTATTTTATGGTTTGAATTAGCTTACTTATAAGATTCTGTTGTAAGACGACCTATTTAAACTAGCTTTTTGGTTTGACTATTGTGGAATAATGCAATATACAATGATGTGAACAACAATATAAAGAGAGAGATGACAAAAAATAACAATCCGTAACGAGAAAATTGTGGGATTCAAAGAGGGAGGGATTTTTTCTCATTTTTATAGGTGGTAATCACCGAGAAATTACAAAGGGAGGTTACATGGGAATTACACATGGAGTTATACCACTAACTACATCATAGTACTTTAGAGTGTAGTGGAGATAATGATGGCCAGTTATGAAATAAGTGGGAAGTAAAATACCCTCTAAGTGGTTAAGAATAGGAATACTCATAATATATAGTATTTACAACACTCCCCGTTAGGGATTCCTATCAAACCACTATTGTGTTTTTCGGTTGCTCGTTAAAACCTTCCGAGTAATAAATCCCAGTGGGAAAAAACAACATTGGTTAGGAAAAAAAGTGCAAGGCACAATCTTTTCAATCAACATATGTCGTCTTGTTAAAACCTTGGCGAGTAACGAAAACCCCGTGAGAAAAATAAATCTCGCACGAAGGGAAAAAAAGTAGAACATAGCACTCGGGTACAAGGGCGGAACTTGTTGGGGGGGGATTGTTGCCCCCCCTAGATTAAAAAAAAGTTTTTTTTAGGTATTTTGGCATTTTATTTTTTGAATATTACTTTTGGCCCCCCTAAAGTTTTTGTAAATATGTGTTTAACCCTTAATTTTTTTGTTTCTTCTCCACAATCTTATATAAATTATACTTGCATACATCATATTTAATATAAAAATATTTAATAAAATGGTTAAAATTTGTATTATTTTATATAATATTTATGAATATTTACTTATTTTGGAATTTTTTTATCGGTGCCTCTTAAAAATAATATGAGACGATGCCATTAATCTCCAAAATATTTAAGTGCAATACATTAAGATTTTTTTTGTCATGCTTAAAATATGATAAAACTATAATATATGCTATTTTAATTAAAAAATTATCAATATAAACTTAATTTTGATGTGTCTTGTGAACCTAATTTTTTTTTTCAGGGCATTGCCCCGAACCCCGAAATTTTAGTTACCCCCCTATATTTTGATCCTGGTTCTGCCCCTGCTTGGGTATCTTCTCGATATTGAGTACCTACAGGATTCCTCCCCTAATGTCTACAAGAGAGCGAACTCATGTAATCTACGAATAGCCTTAACATGCTTCTCCAACGTAACTTTTAGGCGAAGACTTAGAGGGTGTTTGGCTAAGCTTATAAGATGTTAAAAGGAGCTTATAAGATGTTAAGAGGAGCTTATAAGATGTTTTAGAGCTTATAAGCCCTTCCAAAGTGTTTGGTAAATTTAAAAAAAAAGAAAGATCTTAATTTTTTTTAAAATAAGCTGCTGGAGAGCAAATAAGATCTTTTAAAATAAGTAACTCTACCCCACCTTTTTATTTAAGATCTTATAATGAATAAAAATAGGAAACAAGCTCATTATCCAAACACTCTAGGAATTAATCCGAAAAATAAGATGTAACAACTTATCAACTCTAAAAACATCTTATTAGACGTAAGAGCTTATCAACTGTTTAATATAAGCGAGGGTGTTTGACTAAGCTTATAAGATGCTAAAATTAACTTATAATATGTTTTAGAGCTTATAAGCTTTTCCAAAGTGTTTGGTAAATTTTTAAAAAAATATCTTAATCTTTTTTAAATAAGTTGTTGGAGAGCAAATAAGATCTTTTTTAAAAAAGTACCTCTACCCCCACTTTTTATTTAATATCTTATAATGAGTAAAAATAGGAAATAAACTCATTATCCAAACACTCTCAAAATTAATCCTAAAACTAAGATGTAACAGCTTATCAGCTCTTAAAACATCTTATCAGACGTAAGAGCTTATCAGCGGTTTAAAATAAGTTTAGCCAAACACCCTCTTAGTAAATAAATCAGCGAAGGTATCATAACTCATGATCTGCCGGATCATTATTGTTTGAGCTCTTATTGTTGTTGATTGAAGAAAACCTCATAACTATGTTCTTGAAGTTGTCACATTTAGTGAAGCCCGTCTTCATTTTCTCAATGCATCTGCGTTACAGTCGAATACAATCTCGTAGGATCTTATGTGTTAGTCAATTCACATGAATCTCGAATATGCCCAATCATGGCTTCAGGCCATGTGCATCACGCACTGTCTCGTGCAGCAAAAAATATGCATGATTCGAACTAGTGACAACTAGGTACATTTCACAGCCATCCAAGGCATAACTGTATTCTGAATAATAGACCATAGATTTTTGAACGAGTTTTGTGTGGATATGACTTCTAGTTAATGTCAGTATAAACCACAAGTTTTGCATCATTGAGTGATTTATACAGCGTGTCTGTGAGCTGAGCTAACTTTACCTAACAAATTTACCCAAAAGTGTTAAATTATATCGAGTAGATGGAATTAAGTATAATAATACACGTATTGCATTTAGATATGACACTTCAGTTGCTAACACTTCATCGTCCTCCTCCACATGAAGGAAGTAATCATTCGATCTATTCGATTGTCGAACTTCCTTAGGTGTTACTCGATGATTTTTCTTTATCCGTCACATCTTCTGGATGTAATTTGATTAACGGACAAAAATCTAATCGACATGATAAATTTTAAGTCAGTAGAGACAACAAATTAGTCTCCTTTATATGTTCGATCTTGAACTCAAATTTAAAGAATTGAGTTGTTTACTTGACTTCTTCAGGAGTCGCAATCAAATTCATGTCCTCGACATAAACTACAGTAATATGAACCATGAGAGGCTCCGATTCCTTCAATGAATCGATGCTCATGTAGCATTTTCTGAATTTAGCTGCCACTGTAGAAATTTTGCCAAATTTCTGAACCTGTAGTTATAATATAAAAGTAATTACACCCTTAAAATAACTCTCATAATATATACAATCGCACATATACAAGATCACTTACATGTTTATGAGACCAACCGGTGTTACTAGTTCGACCCCAATGGTGTTCAGTTGCAATTGACTTTCGTGGTTCGCGACATTTTTTAGATTTGGGCTCGTAATAATAGCAAATAAGTTACTATATTTTGATGGAATGCACAAAATCATTTAATGATATTAATTAATAAAAATTACAATTTTACCTTCCCATCACTCCTCGACTCATTCATAGTAATAAATTGATCGCACAATTGACCCCATATATCATCGCTAATAAAGCCCTCCGGACGAGTTCGTCTTGCAGTTTCGGGGTCTGACATGCGTTCTAAATGTGCCTTTAAAAGCCTAGACTTGAAGTCCTTCCAACGAGCATTTGTAGTCTGGTTGAACCACTTCTTTGTAGCATCATTATCGGGAAGATTATATTTATCCTAAGATACAGAAAAAGAACATTTGCTAATTTGAAATAGTAATTTTTTCAATTGTTATACGAGATTTATAATACCATGTACCTTGATCCGTGACCAAAATGCATCTACACGTCTATTCTTTTTGTGTTTGGGCCATGAAATACACGGCTTAAAGATGTCACAATGTGCAACCTGTTTAGCAAGCTCATTTACCAATTATGTCCTCCCAGACTCAACCAAAATACCCCTATCATCAAAGTCCATACCAGAGGCCTTGCTCTTTCCTTTCTCCGACATCGTATACACCCAACTAGATCACCTGAAAATGAAATACAATTTACATTGATTCAGTATGCCCATGGTTGCTTGTTTTTTGTTCCTTGGCTTGGAAAAAATTGTCTCTTTTTTTCAGGTTTGAGGCCTCGATCTTTGGTTGCTTAGAGTATTAGATTGCTAGTTTTGCTCCTTTGTTTTATCTATTTGAGTAAAGGTATTTTATAAGTTTTGGAATCAACTTTTGATTTAGTAGAATAAAATTACATGGCTTTTCTATTATAGTCTGGTGAATTTGTAATTTGTCTTGTTAGATCAATGATCAATCTATTACAGTTGAGCTCTCAAATGCCTTTCCTAATAATATATACCAGCAATTTTTTTTTGTTTTTTGCTTTTTATGAAGAACATGACAAGAGAGGAAAAAAAAAGACGATCTTATAAATTTGTGGAACAAGATTTTATCTATTGTATTGAGAAGATGAATACTATTATATGAACAACTTTAAAAGGGT